TTTTAGTAATTTTCCTTAAGTTCGTGGAAGTGCTCTGAAGTTCATTGATCTTGCGTGAAGTACACGAAACTTTCCTGAAGATAAAGAAACTTCCTAAAAATCTCTAAATTTCTCTGAAGTTCTTTGGACTTCCCTGAACATCTCGGAACTTTTTTAAAAATTTTCTAGGGTTTTTTTTCCTGAAATTAATGGGACTGCGGTAAAGTTTTTTGATCTTCGCTGAAGATCCCACAATTTGAAACTGCCATAAAGTTATCGGAACTTCCCATAAAATGTTCCCGCATTTTCCTGATGTCCATGGAACTAACTCAGAGATTCCGCAATTTTCCTAAATCTCCCGGAAGATTGCTAAAGTTTCCAGAAATTTCCTGAGTTACTCAAAACTTCTTGGAGAGTCCTGTTGTTCCATTGCTGTTAATTGAGCAACCCCGAGGTTCTCAGATCTTTTTCTGAGCTTTCCTGAAGTTTTCGCAAGTCTCCTGAAGTGTTCCTTTAAAGCTCTGAAATAAATGAAAATTACCGAAAAATCTTGAAACTGACCTTATTTTTTCGAAACTTGCCCTTACAGACTATCAAACTTTCCAAAAGTCTGGACTTTTCGCAAATTCTAGGAACATACCTGAAATTATTGGAACTGCCCTTAAAATCGTTGCGCTTTCCTGAAAATATATGAAACTAGCTTCCCTGGGCTTCTAGGAAGTTTTTACAATTTACTTAAAGTTCCCTGGACATCTCTGAAGTTTTCTTGACTTCCTGGAAGCTCTCCGAATATCCCTGAATTTCTCAGAACTTTCTAAAGTTGCTGCAGTTTTTCTGAAGCTTATTTGGACCGCCTTCTTGGAGCTTCCTCATTCATCATCATCAATCAGGCTAAGGCCTTAGTGTCCTCTGCTGTCCGAAGAAGTCGTCTCCACTCTACTCGATCTATGGCTACAGTTCGCCAGCCTCGTAGTCTGCGAAGGATCCGCAGGTCACCTTCTACTTGGTCGATCCACCTTGCCCGCTGCGCGCCCCTTCTTCTTGTTCCTGTTGGGTCGCTTTCTAGAACCATTTTCACTGGGTCGTCGTGCGGCATTCTTACGACGTTCCCAGCCCACCGTAGTCGCCCAATTTTTGCAATGTGGACGATGGATGGTTCTCCCAGCAGCTGGTGCAATTCGTGGTTCATTCGCCTCCTCCACTTTCCGACATCTATCAGCACTCCACCATAGATGGTACGCAACACCTTCCGTTCGAAAACACCAAGGGCGCGTTGGTCCTCCACGAGCATAGTCCAGGTCTCGTGGCCGTAGAGGACCATCGGTCTAATCAGCGTCTTGAAGACAGTCAAGTTCGTGCGGCGGCGAATTTTATTCGACCGGAGCGTCCTCCTGAGTCCAAAGTAGGCACGATTCCCTGCCTTAATGCGTCTTTGAATTTCTCTGCTGGTATCATTTTCGGCGGTCACCAGTGAGCCCAAATACACGAACTCATCGACCACCTCGATTTCGTCACCGTCAATCTGAACTCGGGGTGGGAGGCTAACATTGTCTTCCCTAGAACCTCTTCCTTTCATGTATTTTGTCTTTGATGCGTTGATGGCATGTCTAATTCGTCTAGGTTCAGCCTTCAGTCTGATGTACGTTTCCGCCATCATCTCAAAGTTCCGTGCCATAATGTCAATGTCATCGGCGAAGCCAAGGAGCTGGATGGACTTCCTGAATATCGTGCCACTCGTGTCTATCCCAGCTCTTCTGATCACACCTTCTAACGCGATGTTGAACAGCAGACACGAAAGTCCATCACCTTGCCGTAACCCCCTTCGAGATTCAAAGGGACACGAGAGTGTCCCCGATACTCGAACAACGCACATCACTCGATCCATCGTCGCCTTGACCAATCGCGTCAGTTTGACCAGGAAATCCGTACTCGTGCATAATCTGCCATAGCTGATCTCGATCGAGTGTGTCGTATGCGGATTTGAAATCGATGAACAAATTTTTTTTTTTTTGTTTATTAATTTATTTGATAAGGCTCAACCGAATTAACTTTACAGAGCCGAGGATTCTTGGTCACTTTACAATACATCTTAAAACTATAGTCAAAAGATACAACACAATAAACACTTTATCTTCCGCTATCCAAAAGGCCTCCTCCATCAGAACTGGAGCCGCTTCCAGTAGTTTCATTGTATGGCAAATTGTTGTACGCCAACGAGGGTCAGAGCGCGTCCATTGCAACAATGGACGCAAAACGTGGTCAGCACTCACACACTCATCACGAAACGGTTGCTTTCCAAAGTCGACGACGCATCGACCGAAAGAACTGCTGATGAAGAACAATGAGGAGGACCACACAATGGTTGCTGCCGAGAAAACAGACGATCGCGTAGCACACATCAAGAGTGGCCTGCTTTTGTCGACAGCCGAGTGAACACTGCGATGAACAAATGATGTACGTTGTATTCGCGGCATTCTGCAGAACCTGCCGAATCGCGAAAATTTGGTCCGTGGTAGCGCGGGTACCCTGGTATGGCAAATGGTGACAGACGGTGGCATAGAATTTGAGAGAGTAGCTTGTAGGCGGCGCTCAGCAGTGTGATCGCGCGGTAGTTGCAAAAATCCAACTTGTTCCTAAAAGAGCTCTAAACTTTTCCAGAAGTTCTCCAGAAGTTTTCCTCGTGTTCCCGAAGAAATTCTCGGAACTTCCTTTCATTTTTCGAAACTTCATCAATATTTTTTTATAAATTTTCATTAAGTTAGTAGAACTATCCTGAAGTTCTTGGAACTTTCCTGAAGCTCCCACACATTTTCTGATATTGACGGAACTGTACTGAAGTTTTCAGAATTTTCCAGAAAAATGTAAAGTTCCATGCAATTTTTCAAAACTCAATGCCCTGAAATATTTGTATGTCTCTAATCATCACAAAATTTCTAGACATTTTCCTGAAATTTATGGACCTGCACTGAAGCTATTGGAACTTACCCCTTTACGATCATTTAACTTCCCCCTGGAAACTTTTCAGACGATCTTTTCTGACGTTTTTGGATATTTTATAAAACACTAAAAGTTTCTTAATCGGTCCCAAAATAATTTTCCTGAAGTAAATAGAACTATCAGAAAGTTCTCAAATTTGTTTTGAAGTTCTCGAAACTTCCCTAATGCTTATGATGGTCGTGAAACTGCCCTGAAGATCTCTGAAAAGTTTTCTGGACATATTATTCTTTGCTCTTAGAACATCCATAAATTTCCTACAATAAATCTGATGTGATGGAAATTCTCTGAAGTTCTCAGAAGTGTTCCAAAGTACTCGCGTCATTCCTTAAGATCTTTAAACATACATCATGTTCTTAAAACTGCGCTGCAGTTATAGAAATCTACCCTTTGAAATATTCACACTTCCCCAAGTAACAATTTTGGTTTTATGAGGGTTCTGTAGACCATGATTTATACTTGTAGAATGCTATTAAACCTCGATAAAGCCTGCAATATTACTTGGGAAAAGCCTTTTGAAAGAAGGAAACAGCTTAAAATGGGAAGGTTTTAATTGCACAAAATAAATCATTGATTTATAGGCACTGGATGCATCAATCATAAGACGATTAGACAACTCCATTACCCCACAATCGGATCAAAAGGAAATCCTCCTCGCGAAGATCACCCTCACAGCCGTTCCATCTTGGGACGAGCGAGATGCTCCAGTTGCATATTTTAAAAACCCACGAATCACCCCGGATGAACGCGTGCTAATGCTTTTTCGGTGTTTCCGACAGAAAGAAGGTTCCCATCATAATATGCCCAGTTCCTGCATGCTCCGTCAAGGTGAGGTCTGCTCCGGTTTCAATGCCATAAATCTGTTCCTGCTCATTTAAAAAAAAGTTGTTGTTGTTGTTTGAAGGTGATAGTGCGGCTCAGAGCTCAGACCGTAAAACTTTCCCTCGGTAATATCTCACAGCTCACAGCCAACGGCATCATTGCATCACAGATTGCAGCCTTCTAGATCCAAGCCCTACAAGGTGTGTAGATGTTCACGGCCTACTGAGCAACGGGAGAATTAACATTGACCGGAAGATGTTCTCTGCTCGCCATATGAGATCATCTAAAACCGACGGAGAGTGCTTTGAACTTGCACTGCTGCACAGTAGATAAATTGGAGTGTTTGTTTTCATGAAGGACGCGGGTGCTAATCGTTTATGCTGGTTTATGCTAGTCACACCTCTTCTACGACGACTACGACCACGACCGAGTCAGCCAGTAGTGTAATCAACCGAAGCGCATCTTCCCCAGCCACGCATGCCGAGAAACGATGCATCTTCGTTGGATGCTGCGGTGCAGCATAACGATGGTGAAGGCGAGCATAATTTATGGGATCATGTTTGTGTGTTTAATGGCGTTTTTTTTTCGGGAAGGTGCACAGATGTGAGAGGTTTACAGAGTGTAACTTCAAAAAGAATTTTCACCGGGGTGTTAAACAATGCTAAACAGGTTATGTCTATGTTAGCTTCTGCGATGTCGGGAGTCACTGGGAGAAGTCCTAAAATGCATTGAATAGAGAAGTGATAAGGCATTCCATGAGACAGCTTCGGTCAACTGATTTTTAATTTACCGAGAATTTTTGACAGTTCACAGTTGAACTGACAGATCTTTCCCACATAGACTTCGCTGACACCGTTAGGCCGTTCGCAATGTTGTTGTATTTTATATGGACTACTTTAATTTGAAACAAGCAGAAACGCATCCTTCGCAGTGCTGATTTGCAGTTTCATCATTCGAGCACTAATTTGCACCATATTTGCAACTGCTCGAAACACAAATGGAACTCTGTTTCAAATTTCTTTGTTTGTTTTGTGGAGCTCTAATCAGACAGACGGCAAAGTTATTAACAAATGAGCAATTTGTGCGAAAAATTGAGCAAGCCAACACTGGTTCTACGGATACTTTTGTTTTTAAGTCTAAGTCAAGAAAATTAAAACATGTCCCGCCCCTTGCCACCCCAAGTGATAAACAAAACGGCTACTTACTCGTTCGGCAAGGCGAATATTCGTCAAACTGCTGCATATTGTTCCGGGCAATGTAGCACGTCCCCACCGGTTCCACCCGTTCCACCTTCCGGGGCTGCAGCTGATGGAACACGTATCGCGGAGCACAGGCCTGCAAATGTCACCAGAAAAAAAGAAAACGAAAAAAAACGCCCTCCATAAGTAAATCGCTTCTGACAGTTCTTTCGACGACGACGAGGCCAAATTTCAACCGAATGAAATCTTCCAGCGTCGTCAAAATGACAATATAAATATATTTCTTTCGTTCGGTGGATACAAATCACAACATGAAATGGAAGGATGGATGGCTGGCATGCCACGGATGCGAAAACTTGATACCTACCAGCTCGCAACGGAGAGAAACAAACAAACGAAAAAACTGACCATTTTCAAATAAGGCAACCAGTATCGAACGGTATCATCATCATCATCATCGGCAACCGGATAAATATCGCGAACCGGCTGCGGCCGCCGACCCTAGATGGTCAAAACAATGCGATTTTATTGTTGTTGGTTGCTCTTTCGCTGTCCCTTGGTCCGGCCAACGCGCGAGCGAGCGGCACCTGACTTGACCATAAATAAAGTCGCATCGCTCCAAGTCCGGCAATGCAGTAGGCTACGATGAGTTTCGGTTTGGGGGATGGGAAGATTCTCGCTTGCTATGATTTTTCGCTTTTCCTGATGTCACGATGTCAGGTTGTAAGCGAATTTTCATTTCACTCACTCCGGTTGGGCAGTGATTTTCTGCTTTATTGGATCAAATGTAATCCAATCCCGCAGCGCGAAAAAAGGTGTCGAAAATGTTAATGGGTCAAACGGTTTATCATTGGATGGAGAGGGGCGGAAAACTATTCGCGATGTCAAAAGCCATTATCACGTCACGTTGCACTCTGTTTTGTCGCTTTTAATGGCATCCGCGAGCGACACACAAACGGCAAACGGGGACAAGGCAGGACGACCGGGCGGATCCTTACTCCTATACGACGGAAACTGGTTACCTGGTTAGGTAGGTTGGTGGATGGTGGCCTTGTAGCTCGATGTCACATTTATTATGGCATAGTTTGAACGGGACCATGTGCCGGGGTTAATTAGGACCTACCGGGTTTCTTTATGATACGCTGGTTGAGGTGATGGTTATCTGCTAAATGCGATGGTATCGGGCTCATCAATTTCATGGAATTAAAGCCTCAGAATGGATGACGGAGTTTCGATAGGTGGTGGTTTCATGGATTCAACGATTAACTGTAATACGATGTCGCAACAAATATCTAAAGATTCATCATTTAAGGCATATTTAACTTGAATATAGACATATAAAACTGATATAAATAAAAAAAAGATTGTGATTGTGAAAATATTGAAATTTTCTTTTAAAAGTTCGCTCAAATTTGGTAAATCAAGATGAAAAATCGTATTCCTAGAATAGATTATTTAAATCAAAAGTGAAATCTGGTTAGTTTCCATTTAAAAGTGTAAAATTTCAAAATTAGAATAGGTTTCAGTGTGACATTGATGCCAATTCCATGCGTCAGTCTTTTACCATCAATTCTGCATGCACTGTTCTGTATTTTGCATAACAACACAAACACGCGAGGTGTGAAGATTATGACATCAACCTTTGTCAGTTGTCAAGGACAATATTTTCTGGAAAACCATGCTCTTTTTTATGTGCATTGATCTGGTGGTGAAAAGCTGCCTAGTGTTTGGACTGGACTTTTCTCCATATAATGAGCTGTTTTGGGTATTCGTCCGAACACACTTTCTGAAAGAAGAGAAAGTGAAACACTTCAAATCCAGCGGCATCATCAACCTCGAACACATCCTACAGCAATGATATGCTTTATTTGCAACTCAAGTTTCAGCAAGACAGCGATCCGGATCAAACATCTGAAGAAAATTCATGGTACACCGAGCTGTTTTACATATAAGTGCGTTCATTGCAATCCTAATCTTAAATTTCAAAATATCTATTGTTACCAAAGACATCTTAAATCTAGACTTTCATGGAGAATTTAGCTTCTCAGAAAAACAAGTCGCAGAAAGTCACGAAAGTACAGAAGAGACAAATGTAGGCGTTCATGTAGAATCTAACTGTAGATCTGTAAATAAACTTGTAGAAAAGGATGAATGTGTTGCGAACTAGAGATGACATGTTAAAAAAAAAGAGGGAATCGATTTTTTTCATTTACCCTTGGACTTCATAACAACAGTAATTTAACTAGAAAAAATGTGATTGATATACAAACCGATGTGACCAGTAAAATAATACGGCCAATGCTACAAACAATATCAGATGCTACACTACTTCATATACCAGATGAGAGCAAAAACAAAATCGAAATTCAATCTCTATATGATAGATTATCCAAACTATTTGATTTCATTGCAACTGAGCATCGCATGTTTTCTCAATTGATAAAGAATGATTTGTTCAAGCCACCAAAACATGTACACAATTGGAAGTGAACTTGTGGAAATGGTGATGCATGGAGAACTCACAATCGATTTAGAAAAAGTGAGGGGATGCATCCTGCCGATTAAATTCCAGATAAAAAGTGTTCCAAATTTTTAAAGCAGCAACTTTTTTCGATGCAATGCTTAAACTGTAATTTATTTATCATCAATAAATAGTCATCATAATAATTAAAGTAAATTACTCACAACAAAGTGGTTTCCTTTACCACTAGACTCCGTTTTCTAATTTCCCTCAATTGGGCGAACTTGAGTACCGCTACCCTAACCGTTATCTGTTTGGTGGGTTTTCTGGGAGAAACACGTAAGTAAACAAATTAAATGTTTGGTCACTAATCTCACTTCTTCTCACTACTTACAGCTTTGAACCTCGATTTGAACCGACGTCTGATTCTTGTTGCACTAACTGTAAGCTAATTGCGAAATCGAACTCAATAAACCACTTTTAACTGTTGAATTAACTGCTATAAATTGCACCGTAAACAACCGACTTTCTTTGCAATGGCGAACTTATCACTTTCTATCTGTTTTGTTTTGTTTACCTTATGTACTATCTCCACTATCATCTGTATTGTTTTGTTTTTTTTTCTACTACTACCACTCCAGCGCGCGAGCTGTCATGCTGCAGCTTTGCTCGTTAACTAGGAGTGTCCAAGCGGCGTCGCAACACCCCGACCCGTAACATCCGGCATTCCCGGATTTACCTTACCTCCAGCGCCGCTAGGTTCATCACGCTTCGTCTCTGCACCTTTGCATCAGCGGACCTCACGTCCGCCTGTCGAACTCGTCCATCCGAGCCCTTCATCACCACCTCAACGATACCTCGTCTCCATGCCTTCCGATTTTTCCCGTTGACTACGAACACTAGGTCACCTTCCTTCAACGGCTGTTGATCGTCGAACCATTTCGACCGTCGGTCCTTGCTCCATCTTTCCCACATTCGGTCTGCAAGAAACTGCGAGCGCTGGTATAGGTTTCGCAGCGCTTCTGCGGTATCCGTTCCGTCCACCTTCAAGTCTGCACCAGACACCGTTCCCCGTAGGAAATGGTTTGGAGTTAGTGCTTCAGTCTGATCCGAATCCTGCGGCAAGTACGTCAGCGGGCGTGTATATATCATATCGGCCGCATCCGCAAGTGTTGTCACCAGGATCTCATCGGTCAGCTTTCTCCCGTCGTCCAGCGCGCGCATTGCCTCTTTCACCGACCGAACCATCCGCGCCCAGACTCCTCCCATGTGTGGGGTTCCAGGCGGGATGAAGTGCCAGGTGGTTGTGGAACTGCTTGCGCTCTCTTGGTTAATTTTCTCCATCTTGACCATCTCGTTGTTTGCTCCCTGGAAGCACGGAGCATTATCGGAGAAGATTTGATTTGGCTTGCCGACTCTGTTGTGAGACTATGCACGACCTCCAGATGCACCACCCGCACGGCCAAACAAGTGAAGACTGCCACCCAACGCTTCTCCTTACGCCGTCCCATCGTAACTTCGAATGGACCCAGGTAATCAATGCCCACGGAGCTGAAGGGCCGAAGATAAGGAGTGACTCGCTCAACTGGAAGTGGAGTCATCTTTGGTGATCGTGGACGACATTTGTTAACCTTGCACCAGACATTGATAACTACCTTCTGTATCGCCGGCCGCATTTTCGGAATTTGGAACCGCTGTCTCATTTTGTTGAGCACGGTCTCCGAATTTGCGTGTCCGAAGTCTTCGTGATAGTGCTGAATCAGTTTCTGGGTCACGTAGAAAAATCGGAACAGAATGATCGGATGCCTTTTGTCGAAAGAACTCCCTTCGGCATTCGCAAAGTCGACCGTCCATGCGTAATACTCCTTTGCTATCCAACACCGGTGAACATTTGTAGATTGAACTACTTTTCTTGACAGTCCAGCCATTGTTCCGTCCGGATGACACTTTAAGGCTGTGAACCATTTGCCGAGTTAAATTTAACTCGTGGTTAAAAGTGACATTTCGAAAGTTATTTTCTATGTTCGAAAATCCCCGTGCTGTCGATCGACCGGTTTTCGAGCCACGGTTGTCAAAATTTAACTTATTGTCTGTCAGAAATAACCATGCTCGGATAGCAGGGTTAATCGATAACTTTGCATCTGTCAAATTTTAACCAAAAGTTAAAATAATCCACCAAATGGTTCAGAGCCTAAGGCTCTGAACCATTTGGTGTATTATTTTAACTTTTGGTTAAAATTTGACAGATGGAAAGTTATCGATTAACCCTGCTATCCGAGCGTGGTTACTTCTGACAGACAAGAAGTTAAATCTTGACAACCTTAGCTAAGTTCTTCTAGAAAACCGGTCGATCGACAGCACAGGGATTTTCGAACATAGAAAAAGCTTTCGAAATGTCACTTTTAACCACGAGTTAAATTTAACTCGGGAAATGGTTCACAGCCTAAGTTGTTTGTGAGCACACTCATTTCGTCCGGAAAACTGTCCCACTGTGCCTGCCGCCAAAGAATTGTTTCCGCCTGCTGGAGCTCTTCCTGTCCGAGTGATGCTTTCACCGACCCGTAATTTGCTGATGTCGCTTCGATCAGCTGCCGCTGCTTCGCCGTAGCCCTTGTAGTCACTATCGGCTCTCCTCTTATTTTTCGTCAGCAGCTGGCGATAAAGCGTAACTACAC